TCACATTACTTAGTGAACTCCTTCTATACTTGCCCGTGGACGTAGCCAAATTGAGTGAACCACGTAAATTCTTGTGTGTCGTTTCTCATTTTATCTTGTCCCTTATCTTTTGTTTTGTCGGGTTTGCATGTCAGTATCCTAACATACAATAATTGGCTTTTACACATCCTAATATCGATTTTGCTGTCAACTATGTCAATTCATGAACGTCCCCACTACTTGGACATCTTGCGAGAAATAAATTGTTTCATGCTCAGGTAACTTTGTACACCAACATAGGGAATAAGAAAAAGTAGTTGAACACAATCTTGGCAGTTGCTTCACTGGTAAGAGTTGGGGTTTGATCTTTAATGATTATGAATTTGAATTTTTTTAAAATTAAAATTAATAAAAATTTATATAATTATTAATTTTAAAATTTGTAATATTAATCAAATACATATAAACCGACTAAAACACCTACATTAATTATAATATATATATATATATATATATATAGTTGAGCACCTGTTATCTGGATGTCAAGCTTGATTTGTATCTGAATATGCTACGATAACACACACCTGTGTAGGAGAGATAAAAAGATCCATGACTAATAATCAATGTCACGTACCTAAGGATACGTTCTTAAACTGAAAGTAATTAGCATAGCATACCTACGACTGACTACTGTTGGTATACTAGTTACTTTCATAATATTTCTTTTACTATAAACTTTATTTGTCGATTCATGAAGGTCCCTATTACTATTCATCTTAAGGATGTGGCAGGGATTATTAGTCACGGTCTTTTCATCTTTTCTACACAATTATGAATTAACTTAATATATTTAGATGCGTATTAGGTTAGATGTCCAGATAAAAAGCAGTTTACTTATTTTCTATATTGGTATACAGTGTCTTGACATCTAGCAAGAAATAAATTGTTTCCTACTTAAGTATTAAAGCTAAATATTTGGCAATCTCCCCCATTGTTATTGAACTTCTTTGACTATGCAATATTCTAAAAAAATATCGGTATTTCACAATCTACCTAAGCATTTGGACATTGATTTCTATTATGTTCGTAAGAAAGTCTCTAATGTTATAATTTGGATTCGGTATATAAGTTATTAACTTGCTGGTTTACTTACCAATCCTCTCTCTCCACTGCATGATGTGTCAGTACAGGGACAAACTTCGAGATACTAAATCTTCTTCAGCTCGAGGGGCATATTATAGATATTGTAGGTGATAATGAGTGGTTTTTTCTTTGATCTTAGATGACTTGTTATCATATATATATTTTTCCTTTCCTGATATATAAGATATTCTCAACTATATCTATGACATTTTTTTATTTCCTATTGTATTGGATCTTCTAACTGTTCATATATTATATATAATGAGAATCTACATTCTATATAATACTATGTAAGTTTGGTTCAGGAATCCTTACTTTAATTAGAAAAATACCCTTAACCCTAATGTAATACCATGTAAGTTTGGTTCAGGAATCTTGTAAAGAAGTGAGGTTTGGCATCCAGTAGAGAGATTGTCAGGCATGTCAAGATGAAAAGACGCGCCCTTCATCATTTCCCTCTATCTCAAATGAGGTTATTTCAGTTTAAAATAATATAATTTTTTTATACATGTGATTTGAACGGACATGGCCTTGAAAATACGGTCATCAAATTTGAACTATCTATCCATCTTGTTTCATCATGTAATGTGTCTTTTGAACTAGTTATGGAGGAGCTTTTTTTTTATAACTGAATAAGGTGGGTGTCTGAGTACTTTAGACAAGGTAGCTCCTTATTAAATGTTCAGATACTATGTTTAAAAAAAAAAACGCCACCTTAACTTGTGTGAAGGTATTTCGCTCTTTTTTTTATTCAAGCTATATTGTCCTTAAATGCTAGTTTTAAAATCTTTGTATTCAAGGAAGGTCAATTCCTGTGTCGAATAGAAAACGGAGAATATATTGTGATTTAAGTAAAGTTGTTTTCGCTCTTTTTTTTATTCAAGCTATATTGTCCTTAAATGCTAGTTTTAAAATCTTTGTATTCAAGGAAGGTCAATTCCTGTGTCGAATAGAAAACGGAGAATATATTGTGATTTAAGTAAAGTTGTTCTCTAATTAATCATAATTAAAGAGTTTTATTTCGATAAGATCATTTGGTGGATATTTCATTGAGATCATCCTCGGAGATTTTTCATAAAGACTTCTAGACTTGTTTTCACAGGGACTTATCATAAAGCTCTCACATGGAGATTTTCATAAAGATTTTAATGTTGTATTTTACATCTTTATATTTTATCACATTTTGATAGCACAAGTAAAACAAACTCACTAATTTCACTACATATATTTGAAAGAATTAATGAATAATATGATATAATTTATTATAAACAATTTAAAAAATCCATCTATATTAATCTATTAAAACTAAGATTTTAAGTGAACCAGACAATTATTTAGTATGATCAAGTAAAGCGAATAACTGTTTGCTTATTAATAATAAACACCTAAAATTTTTAAAGAAACTAAACTAATCGACTCATTAACTTTACTAATTTGAATCAATCAACCATTTGAGTTGTTAAAGGAACTACAACGACTATAAATGACTAATATTTATTAAGAACATATATTTAATTTATCTAATTACAAAATCAGAAAGGGATTTTGAATATATATTATCTACAAGCTATTATAAATGTAAAAACACTATAAAACACCAATCATTGATTATACTCACATTTATATAATCAAACCTTCATAATTTAGCATAAAAATATATATCTTCATTTTAATTACACTCAAAACATTTTCTAATCCTATAAATGCTATCTTATGATATATTGAGATACTAAAAATTTCAATTGTAATAAACTCTATTAAGAAAGTAAATTACAATAACAAAAATCACATTTGTAAAATTTTAAAAGTTAAGTAAAAATTCTTGGAATTGGTAAAATAATTTCACCAAGAAAAAATCTTGAAAAATATATATTTTTTAGTGGAAAAAATCTTAGCATAGATTCACCAAATAGTAAAAATTCTTGAGAGAAAATATATAATCCAATACATTATATCTTGGTGTACTATGAATGATTAATGACTAGAATGATATACCTAGTTGTTTTAATTATTTCTATAACATAACAAGCATCTAATAATAATAAAAAAAAAATTCCCCTAATGAAAGAGACTAGACTACATCAAAACCAAAACCTAACTACAAACCACCAAAAACCAAAATCATAAGCATTAGAATGAACTAAAATGAAAACAAGCACAACTCATGAGTT